CATTCGCCACCACCATTGTTTTTTCACATCTCTTAGCTGGGAGCTCAGATAATCTGATTCTGGTCCATGTTCCCTGTAACATTTTAACATTTTAAACTATAAGTTAGAATTTGATATGCACTATTGCTACCAAAAAAAAAGGGGCTTATTTTTGTCTTTTTTAAAGAGAGTAGACTCATGGTGGCTGACACAGGCAAACTAAAGAGGGAAGTTGCATCAGGGTTACACTGAAATATGAAGGGAGAAGAAACCCGATACCCTGCAGCACTTCTACCTGGCATTGCTGTAAAAACGGTAATTTGCATAATTTAAATGCACAATGTGAGCCTTAGACCTTGACAGAGTAAATAAATATCCATATATGCTCACATTCTTTTCAAATAAAACACATAGCATTGGCAGTTTTAGCTCAACGTCCATCAAGTTTTGGTCACGAGGAATTAAACTGTAGGAAACAATCAGTTTGAAAGTTTTAAATAAATAATAATAAATGCCAGAAAACAGAGCCAAAGCTTAAAACACTTTGTTAAACAGGAATGTCCCAAGATGCCCTTTTCCCTGGTGTTTCCTCATAGATAATCCTTACTGGGAATTTTAGAAAAAAAAAATTCCAGTGAGCAAATATAGACGAGACAAAATGCTTTCAGTCACCAGTTTGAGTTGATCTGTGAAATGTCTACAAATGTTACTCTTGGCAGAATTTAGCTTAAGTCTCTAACCACATGAAACTATCTGATCAACTTAATCTCTTTATTCATCAGCAGATGTAGCTGCATGAACATACATTTCACAAACATAAGAATAATTATCATAATTAATCTGGAATGTGCTTCAGCAGTTCTAATGCGATCAATTTTAAAATTTGCATATATACGTACGAGTTTCAGGGCTAGTTAAGCACACGACCAGCTCTATCTTCAGACCTCTTGAGAATTCACACCTTTTCAAAGTAGAAATGGCTGAAAATACAGACTGATCTCACAGCGCAGTGTTTTAATCAGTGTGGTCACTTACCCCTGCACCTGAAAACAGCAAAGCATCAGACAAACACAGCGCACCTAAAAACTGACATGAAGCTTCTGCTTGCTCTTCATAAAATGTGTGATAGTCTGTGATGCAAGAAGTTAAAACACACCCACAGAGAGGAATCGGCTCCGCTTACTTCCTCTTTTTCTTCCTGCTCATTTTTATATCAACCTTCTGGACAGTTTTGGTGATAAGTTTGAGGCGGGTTAAACATTATTCAGAGCCCCATATTTAGCTGCAGCATGCAGTAGCACTTTTGGCTGACAAGTTTTCTTGTTCAGTCCAATGACAATTTGAAACTGTTTAGAGAGGAAGAAATAAAAACTTAATAATGATCACTTTTACTGTCCACATAGAGTGGTTAGTAAAAGTGATCATTATTAAGTTTTTAATAAACTTAATAATGACCACATAGAGTGGTTAGTAAAAGTGATGTAGTTTACTTGTATTAAATGAAAAGGATGGAGCAAAACCATTTTAGTATAACTAACAGTTTGCCTGGAGAGACATTCATAAAACAAACTGGTTATGGTGGCTATAACAATTATTCACCCTCTTGGATGTTTTACCCTTTTTATTGCTTTCACCTGTCAATCATATTCAACAAAATTAGGCTTATTTTGACAAAAAAAGTGAAAACATGCTCATGGATTTACTGTATACAAATTGTATTGTGTTGTAATTTCTTTACCCTTTGTGGACTTTTGCTGTTTTATTAACATTTACAATTTTATTTTTTCTTACTATTCAACAGCTTGCTCAATTTTACAGAACTGCATAGTTGATGTCTCACAGCAAGAACGTCCTAAGTTTTAAATTATTACTTCATTCATTAAGAGAAATTACCACTGAGTCGTAATACTGAGAAAGACGACTCAAGAACCAAACACAGCCCTTGCTTATAACAACTATAATTTCAAATATGCAGCTCACTTTGAGATATACAATTGATGGACAGATCTTTCAAAAGTAGTGAAATCTAATCAATAAAATAAAATTCAATTCAGTTCAGTTATCTTTGTAAAACCAAATTTCAGCAATATGTAATTTCAAGATACATTGCAAACAAGCCCTATTCTGATAGGGTCACACTGAATCCGAATTATGACACGCAACACCGCTAGGGGGCAGAACACGCCGCTATTCTCCGCTGAGATCGACTTCAACAACCGCTTCCGGCCTCGTCCTTCCTCTTTTTCCTCCTCATCGGGTCGCAACCATGGTATGAAACGACTACACCAATACATTTAATAAAATCAACATCAATCCTGCTATTTAAAGCATCACGTCGTACTTTCTTTAGTTCAAATGTGGTTACAGTTTTTCGATAAATGTTATAGTGGCTGTATTGGCAGTTTTGTTTCGGATTTATGTTGTTATATTGAGATAAATAGGAACGTTACTGTTAGCAATGAAGAGCCGCTGTTAGCTTCTTCCATTCTCCTCAAATGTTGAACTTAGTGTGGGTGAATATGGTGTAGCTGAAATATTCATTCAAAACGGCATTGTGTCACGTTTACAGGAACTGAACCGCACATGTTTGCGATGTTTTAATATCCCAAAGCAACCATGCTATCAGAGCTAACAGCTAGCTTGATTAGCACAGTATGTCCAACAAGGAAAGTGTTTTTTTTAAGGCTTTAGTTTCACGTTGTTTACATAATTATATCGTTATTCAGTTGTCAATTAACGTCAAGGCTAACTATGTGGCTTTCAAGGCTATAATTTGTCTCAGACTTGAAGTATGTTACCTAATACATGCTCTGTGTTGCCATTTAGGTGAACGTCCCGAAGACCCGCAGGACTTACTGCAAAAAGTGCAAAAAGCACCAACCCCACAAGGTGACCCAGTACAAGAAGGGAAAGGATTCCCTCTATGCGCAGGGTAAATAATTTCTCCACATAGATCTGATGCAGTTCTTTGTATAAAATATTCACAGTCCTTGAACCTTTTCATGTTTGGTCATAAAAGAACAACATAAGCGTATTTTGCTGGAAATGTATGTAATGCATTGTAATAGTAAAAAGATTAACAAAACGAAAGTCATTTGTATTTGACTAGTTTGCTCTGATGTTCCCAAGTAAAGTTACCATATTAGTTTAAAAATTAACATGTCACTTCATATGAACTAGTTTCGAATGAAAAGGTGTGGAAGGAAGAAAAGTTTTACATAAGCTCCTACTCCTCTACTCCTTTTTTAACACAAAACAGGCAATAATCTAAGAAAGATTCCTATGTGGTGATGCAGCACTAAAGTGAGTGAAAATATTCTACATCTTGATAGCACTGGATTTTCTACTCGCCTGTGTTTCTTTTGACAGATTATTCCACAGATTTAATCCGTTAACAAATTAAATGCTCCATTTTTTTATTTTTATGCAAATTTGGAATTTAAGCAAAACTAAACTAACAGTTCAAGTTGTGAAATTTAATCTAATTTGATCTCATTTTATGCTAATTTATGCTAATTATTCACTGCTGTTTTGTGAACAGTAACTATGGAGCTGCAGAGATTTAAAACTGAGCTTTTATATAAGAATTTACCTGTGGGAACTTGGGAAAATTCTCTGTTCAGGTAAGACCAAAACTAGGTGAACTGACATGCAAACAGTCGTAGCTAACGCTGTAAAAGACATTGACTGGGATGGATGTTCACCTTGCTACAGAACAACAATTTAAAACAACCAACCAGATCTAAAGTGGAATATTTGATAGTATCTTTGTAGATTAAAACGGTCCACAGAAAGTTTAATTCGATTGAGCATCTGTGGGAAGATTTGAAAGCAGAGCGTTTGTAGATTTACTCGAGACTGCAGTTCCAGCAAAATGAGGTTCCACAATTGATTGAATACAAATGTGAATAAGTTTAAGCTGTGTGGATACTTTTATAGATTGTTTTATATTGTAACTGTTGTGCTTTCCCTGAACTCTCAAACTGTTCTGCAGGTAAGAGGAGATACGACAGAAAGCAGAGCGGGTACGGTGGGCAAACAAAGCCGATTTTCCGTAAAAAGGTAACGCCAACCTTCCCTTGTAATTTTATTTAAAGGGCTAAATACATGTGAAAGCTGTGACTGAACTACAATACCTCTTTCAGGCTAAAACGACAAAGAAGATCGTATTGAGGCTTGAGTGCGTGGAGCCCAACTGCAGATCCAAGAGAATGCTCGCCATCAAGAGATGCAAGCACTTCGAGTTGGGTGGTGACAAGAAGAGAAAGGTACGAAGCAACTATCATTGAGTTTTTTGCTACAATTCAATGCAAGACATAAGAGTTTGCCAGTAACTGTTCCTCAGTACAGTGTCTCTAGGGATAAGAGTATTAATTCATGAAAATGTTAGAAGTTGATGAAATATCCTAATATAATAGATTATTAAATTTGTGCTGCATTGCTTAACTTAATTACTCCAGTTAGACACGCCATTCTGTTGTAGTCATAATGCTAGAATGACATATTTAACACAAATTTCTTGGTTATCGAGCATAATTTATTTTGAGTGGGTATTATAGAAAAAAATTATGGCATTTAACGTGTGTAGAGTGTGAATGTTGGTAGAAAAATTCACAAGGCTTGAGTGCTGCATTTAGCTTTCAGTCTCAAATTGCAGCATCAACTATCGGGTCAAAAAAGTTGTAGTTGCAGATTCGTTCTAACATTAAAAAGCCTGAAAATGTCTGGAAGTGTTGACTTTGTATTAATGGGTGAAGTGTAATCCTACTGATAGAAGTGTGTGGGACTTAAACCCTTAGTGGACTGAATTTTATGTAGCTATTAACCAGAAAGAAGCATTTATCTTGAAGCATCATTTTCACTCAGATTTTCCTCCGTTTCCTTTTACAGGGCCAGGTCATCCAGTTTTAAGCTGTGGTCCATTCCTCTGGATGAAGTTGTCACTATTTTCAATAAATTTGTTGAAACATACTTTTATTTTGTGCTTTCTTTTCATGCTTTGAGAACTATAGATGTGAAGAATGAAATTTTTGTATAAACATGTTAAAAAGAAAAAAAATTGAAACTTTTCATAAAATCAGTTCAGATTTCTGTATCTGGAGATCTTCATGCAGTTTGATACAGAACATTAATGGACACACCTTTGAGAATCACATTTATTCTATTAAATAGAATTTGTTAAAAAAAAAAAAAAACATCACAAACTGAGTTTAAAAGTTTACCCATAATTGCTTTTAGTTTCAAAAGTTGCTATGAGAGTCTGCAGAAATCCACCATGATTTTTAACAAAAGTCATTGCAAAGGTTTGTCGGTCTCTAGAAAATAAAAACAAACAAAAATTGGCTTCAAATAACCTGTTAAGTGTAAAAACAATAAAACTGAGCTGATTTAAGTTGATCCGGATGCAGGAAAAGCCCTTTACCAATACAGCGAATCACAAATGGTCATGTATTAAAGTGTCAAGAATGGTTTAAAACCTTTAGAGCAAAAATCTAGAAAAAATATTTTTAGAAACTTGATTAAACCTGAGATTTAGAGTAACAATTTGACGTTCTTTAGTTGGTGTTCTTCCAGTGAAGCTTGCCAAAGTCATTGCTGATTGGCGTGACTGTCAGCAGAGCTGTTCCAGAAGGGTTTACTTTTAAGATGAGTTTGCTCTCTTTAGTCTGCACTCCCATCTCTTTATATTGGGGGAGGATTAGAGTGACGTTGCACTGGGGGTCACAGACCTTCCAGCCAGGGACGCTGCTCATGCTTAACCCCCGAGGACCACCGATCTCCTGCAGGTTGAGGACGGCGACAGCCAGGCGGTTTTTAGATAGAGGTCTCTCCCAAACTTCAAAACTATTTCCCTGCAAAACAAGCCAGATTTATTGGCCTTCAAGAGATAATTTCATGTCTAAAACTGTTCAGAGAATGAGTAGATGAAGCTGAAATCTGTGTTTTCTGTCAGTTTTACTCCCACCTTGGCAGAGCGGTGTCCCTGCTTGCCCAGCGGGTCCTGGCTGATTTCTATGATTCGTCTGTTCTGCAGCAGCTCCTTGGATCGAGGACAGATGTCCCGCAGATCATTAGACATGAGCAGAGGGGCGGCCATGATGGCCCATAACGCCATCTGAGACTCCTGCTGGTCATGACTCAGTCCAAAGTTCCCAATTACAAGCTGGAGAAATGGATCAGTATCATAAATATGCAAACTTACAAAAGCACGAACAAGCTTATTCTCTGATATGAACAAGCCCAATATTGTTGTTTTATAAGTGATGTATTATACACCCTTGAACAAACTAGGACAGGCCTATGGGTTAGACAAAGCATGTACATTACATTTTTTGCACAAAATCATTCTTAGAGAATGACATTTTAGTTTCCTCACTTATGCCTATTTTAAGCTCCTTTCAGAATGAACTGTTTTCGTACAAAATGTACAAAAAAGTTAATTTTGAATAACAGAAGTAGAAAAGTTCTGATACAGAGAAACTTCTTGGTATTTGAATGTTTTGGGATCAAATTGAAAGATGTGTTGAGTACCATGTCGGGGTCATTCCAGCCCCCGGGCCCAGCTGAGGGGACAATGATGTCCTGATGAGAAGCAGTCCAGTCCAGGATAGATTTGATCGAATTCCACGAGTCAAACACGTCGTTGAAGTTGCGCCAGTGGTTGCAGGTCTCACGGATAGCGGTGTAGTTTGGCTGGAGGCAGAGAAAAACTAGTATATTTTAAAACACCTTAAAAAGGATATGAAAGATGAATTTTCCTCACCTTCTGGAAAGGCCATTCATACAAAGGCCACTCACAGGAGTATAGGATACTTCTTCCAGTTTTGTTCAAAGCTTTTGACATCTTTATGTAGCCTAAACCCAAAAATTAAGCAAGAAGAGAACAGAATGACCTGATAGAAATAGACACAATCTCCTTATATTTTTAAATAATGGAGTGGATGGGCATGCATGCTTTGGCAACACAGCTTACAATTTAAATGAACATTAACTTAAATCCTGAAATTAATTCTTACCCTCCGAGCAAAGTCCATTTCAAGTTACACCCATCAAATTTAAGCAGGTCCACATCCCAGTCTGCGAATGTCTGAGCATCAGTCTCATAATAACCCAAACTGCCAGGGTATCCAGCGCAGGTTTTTTCTCCCACATCTGCATAAATACCCAACTTCAGGCCTTTCGAGTGGACCTGAATGAGGGAAAACATAATGAGATGTTCAAACCAGCAGGTGGCAGTGTTGCGCAGCTTAAAACTCAAAAAGCCTTTGCTGTCCCTTCCAGCTAAATGAAGAGTGAAGGGATACGAAAGCTGATCAGAGCTCAGTCGAAGGTGAATGGAACTAAAATTGGGACAATACTGTAAGAAAAGCACACATTTTGAGACTGAGGCAAAGATTCACCTCCCAAAGCACAAAAATACTAGACTTACTAAACATATACTTACTGTTTTTAAATAGTAAGTTCAGTACAGATCAACACACATGCCCCAGGCAAAGGCCAGAGCTATATCCAAACTGACATTTACTGAGAGGAATGGGCAAAAACATCTGAAATTTATAAAACCAAGAGAAAAATATAATGTATAACACCTGCAGTTGTACAAAGAATGATACTACAAAGTATTGACTTAGGAAGGACAAATACATCCATCCATCCATTTTCTAACACCCTGGTCCCAAGTGGGATCAGGAGGGGTGCTGGTGCCTATCTCCAGCTAACGTTCTGGGCGAGAGGCAGGGTTCACCCTGGACAGGTCGCCTGTCTGTCGCAGGGCAACACAGAGACAGACAGGACAAACAACCATGCACACACACTCACACCTAGGGAGAATTTATAGAGACCAATTACTCTATGAAGAGAAAACTTCATGTTACAAAAACTCCAATGAAAGAAACAAAAATTTATGGTGGTAGCATAAAATGCAGAAATATTTCAAGATATAAAAATACTTTTTAAAAGGATTGTGACATGCTTCTCAATCACAAACTTACATGGTGGTCATTCTGCAGCCCAAATCTATTAAACATCCCATTATTTTCACTTTGTGGTTTATTTATCATAGCAGTAACTCACATAGTCGGCTAACTTTTTAATGCCTCCCGGGAATCTTTTGGGGTCCGCCTGCAGACGGCCTTGCGCGTCTCGCTGGTGGGACGGCCAACAGTCGTCGATACAAACGTACTCATAACCGGCCTCTTTCCAGCCATCCTTCACCATCATGTCCGCCATCTGCATGTACAGACGCTCACTGCCAAGGCATCGGGAGGATATAGGCAGGGCTGTCAGTTAGGATTCAGGTGCTGAGAGGTATTGGGATGAAAACATGTCTCCAAAACAAAAACACATTGTATATATAACAGTGTATCTGGATGCTGCCACATATGAAGTAACACAGTTATCAAGATTCAAGGCACTGACATTTAGGGCCTTGCTTCCTGAATAAAAATGTGGCAATATTTATTTATATTTGAGCTACAAAAAGGAAAGATGAGTAAATATATGAAATGAAATAGAATTGATAGTCATGACAAAAATATAGAGAGAATAATGTGTTTGATAGATTAGATAATATAATGAATAAAATGATATTAAAAGTGGAAACTTCAGATAGTTTCTATGTTCAAAATCCAGTTGAAACTTGAATGTGAATAACTGCTTTTTATTTTTATTTAACCATTTTTCAGAAACTTTTAGCCTAGTCTAAGTATTTACATTTTAAATGTCAACCATCCTGTTGATCCAATCAAATCAGTGTGGGGAAATATAACCACCATGAGGAAACTTTATTATGTTTGAATCGTTCAAATTAATCTATAATCTAATTAAAGGAACAAGTAGTTGCTTCCTCGTTCCTACCTGATGCAGTTGTCGGGGTCTGTGTCACAGTCCGTGTTACACATGAACCTCTCCCAGTGCAACCAGCCCATGGTGGGTTTCAGAGCCAGCCCGTTGTCCAGCGCTTCTGCTGCGGGACTCAGGAAACTCAAAAGTACGAGGAGCAACAACATTTTGCTCATTTTCACCCAGAAAGGCAGCTTTTAGCAGCGACACCGCTTACTGGAAGGTGCTTTTGTTATTTCCTCGTTCGGAACGCAGTTGTCCCGCCTCCTTTTCTTGATTGATAGTCAGACAGACCAATAGGATCAAAATGCGCCTTCAGTGGGCCAATAACGTTTCGCTACAAATGAGGAAGAGCTCTCTGTTAAAGTCAGGAAAGGTGAGAAGTCAGGTGACATGACTTGTGATTGCTATAAATGATAAAAAATAACAAAAAGGACAAATCAGGTGTAACTGCAATAACTATCTGGGGTATTTTCAGAAGCTAACTTCATACTCACACAATACAAAACCACATTTTAAAAAAACTTTACCTTAGGTAAGGTTGAATTAATATCATCAGATAAAACTATATAGATAAAAAGCTCCAGATTTAAAGCAAAACAAAACATATTTGTTGTGTAATACAAACTGTATTTTGAAAAAGAAGAAACAGGACATGCAACTTTCCTTTCTTCAGAGATTTTAAGAGCTCACTGTATTTCAGTCTTTTACTATTGAATAAAAGAGCCTTCATTCCTGCTTTTTATGTATTTTACTCTAACTAATTTTAAGTAAAATTTGAGACATAGTAAAAAAATAAATATCAGAACCATATAAAAGTCTGTGTGTAAAGCAAAGGACTTATTGAAGGAGTCTTAATCATAAGACAAATTTTGTGCTACTTTGAATCTCTTCCCCTGCACAGAACTCTGAAAAACAAAGCAGGTCTGAAGGGAAGATGGATGGATGGATGATTCCTAGAAACCTGACAAACAGAAACCAGTTGCTGGGAATTATCAGATCAAATAAATTGACTGAAATCAGGGGAGAAGCGGCTGTTGTTTTAAAAAAAATCTCTAAAAAACCTTCAGTAGACATTGGCGTAATTTCCCAGAACTTCTTCAAAAACCTGGTTTATTGGAAGTAAAATAATGGTCAGACTCAGAGTGCTTTATGCTTTACTTTAATTGAAAATTGCTTTGATCTTGCAAAGGTTCTTTACAAATATTTGTAATGTTAAAACCAAACCCTCCACACCGATATTGACCCCCAGCTTTGTCCAGTTAGAAACTTTGATGTTTACCCAATTTTCTTTGCTAAATGACTCAAAGCATCTGTGATTAGAAGTTTTCAACTTTTGCCATTTATTCCCCAAACTGAATTCAAATCTGGACCTTCAATAAACTGTTCTGTTGTAGCTCTGGCTTGATGTTTAGTTATTATCTTGATGGAAGGTGAACCTCTGCCAAACTCTCAAGTCTTTTATAGATTTTAGCATTTACGATGACAAGCATCCCTGTAGCATGATGCTGCCGCCACCATGTTTCCATGTGGAGGTGGTTAGCCAGAGTTGAAGCTTTTACTTTTCTACTTTTTCCACTCTTCCTTACAAGCCGAATTTAATTTAATCTTCAGTGTTTGGGGTCACTGTGGTAACCCAGTGTTGTTAAAAACCCTATTTTATTTTTGTTTTTTAGTTGGATTCACAGCATTTTTCATGTAAGCAGTCAGCTCTCACATTGCACCCAAACAAAATAACGTTTTCCTACAATCCACAAGTGTAAAAGAAGAATTTGTGTTGACACCCTGGGTGTTTATTTGTGTTTGTCTTACAGCAGGCAGCAGGACTGACTGAAAATGGTCCAATTTATCCCGCTGGTCCCCGAGGAGCCCAGATAATAAAACTGCCACACACACTGCTTGTAATAACATACATATCGAAGCTGCTTTGGACTGTTTAATAGCTTGCAATGGAAAGCAATCATTTTTCCTGTATTGATGTAAAAAAAATTATAGATCTGTTTCTTAATTCAGCAGTAAAATAGACACCCTGCTACTGAATGAAATTAATCCTGGACATTTCCATTTGTGAAGTTGTCACAGATCTTCTCACGCAGAGAGAATGATGAGCTTCGTAGTTATTGCTCTACCTTGCTCTTTTTACAAGTAAAGCTGCTGACGTTTTATTTGCAGATGAACTTTTTGGGGTTTTGCCACGCTAACAAACTAGCTACAGGTTTTAATCAAACCTCGGATCAACTTGACAGCCTATCATTGATAAGAGTGGTTAGTGGTTGCTAAATGTAAAGTTTACAGCAAAACATTTGTTCTACAGGTATTCAGTTAGTGTTGTCAGGAATTTACTGTGAAATGTAGCCATTCAAAATAAAATGTTTTAGTGTTTTTTTAACATAGATTTTAATAAGGTGATGTTATTATTGATTAGTTTAGTTTTATTATCATATTTATGTTGGTTTATAAGTTATATAACCCTTTACTGTTCAATTAACAACACATTACCATTAAAGGACTATATTTTGCCTTTTTTACAGCAATTTTTTTTAAAGAAGCTACAGATTTTTTATTTTTTATAAGTTATTAAAAATTTATTTCAAAATATTAATATTTAATAATGAAGCATGTTTTTCTACAATAGTTTTCAGTGATAAAATATGTTTTTTACAGTACAATTTAAGGTTACCAAACCAATATACTGTTCTGGAAGGTATATTCATTTGGTACATTCCTGGCAACCTCAGCTGCTGATATTTTATCACAATTTCAACATTTACAGTATGCTTCCTTCAGTAAAAAAAACAAAAAAACATTTTATTTAATTTACTTTGATAATTTGTCATTTTTCCACAATGAGAAAAATTATGAAACATAAAACAAAACTAACTAAAAAAGTGTAGGATAAAGCAATGCCTTTTCTCTTAATTCTTAGAAAAATCAAATAATGAAATAAACTAATACGCTGAAAGTTTACACCTTGCATTAAGAAGGATTTCCTTTTGAATCTCAACAAGGTTTTGCATGTTTTTAATAAGGAAAAAAAAGGGTGCTCATTAAACTGATGTAAGATCTTGACTGCGCTTCTCAAACCCCACAGCTGGCTGTATGTAAAAGAGGGCAGTAATGAACACAAAACATGACCTTTCCTCAAAATGTCAAGGGTGCCCATTTCATCTCTAAACATTATCAGAGGCTTCACCTAGGGACAAGCCTGATACAAACAATTTGTCACATGCTGCAGTTCACATCAGAGCCAGTGAGAGAAGCCTTTGAGGCTCTAAATGTCAGATTTCAATTTGACTCTGCCCTCCTTCGCTGATGGATGGGCCAATACGGCTCATCTAAATACTCTGTTTTCTTCTTGTAAAAATAAAATGCTGCCCACTGTTGAGATAGACACCCTTGTTCTTGTTATATAAAAGAGCGGGGTGCCTGTATCTTTACAGCAGTTAATTGAGATTGTTGACAGATGGGCAGCCCCTGCGCGTTGTCTTGCTTATATGGTCCTCTGGGGATTTGACACCAATCCATCATGCTTCTTTCTTCCCCACTGTCACATAATTGAAGAGACTGTCATGGCTGACTTATGTGAGCATCTCTGTTATGAAGTGTAGTTGGGTGAAGTAAAAGGGAGAGCGTTGTTGTTGTGTGTCTTTCTTGCTGAGAAGTTTCATTATTGTATGGATCTATGGAGACAGATAGCAGTGCGAGTAAATATCATCAAAAAGTTATGCTTCCATGAATTTAATCCCCACTCCATGGCTCACGTAATCTTAGTGGGAAAATCATTTATTGTCATGTAATTTAGCTACTTAAGTTGTTTATTTGAACATCTCCAGGGAGGGAACCCACATTTACTGATGCTGCCACTTTAATTAGGCCACTGTTGGCTTGACAAATCTTTAGAAGCAATTTGAGTTGTTGAGTCCTCATTGCTCACAATAGTTTTCTATTCTAATTTTTGGTTGTGTTTTAATATCAAATGTAGGCATTGTTTTATCCATTTTACTTACAGGTGTTTAATTTCAGACTGAGGCTTACATGGACATCGCCAGACTTAAGAATAGAGTTTTCTGAGCCAGCAGTAACTTAAAAAAAAAACTGACATTTGACTTAGGTGGAGATGCTATCAAACATATTTTAGCTCTAAAACCATTTAAACATAAAATAATTACTTGCTGTCACTTTTTCATATTAATGCCCTTACCATTTTAGTGCAGGTAGTTTTTTTGCTGAAAGAAAACAGTACTTTTTGTAGAGTGTGATTTCTAATTTTCAGTATTGACGTTGTTTATATTGGCAATTTACAACTGTCAAATCAAAAACTTGTTTGCAAACTCTTACACGTCTGGCGTGCGTCTTAATGCTTCTCTATTTCTTACTCTAATTAGTTTTGACAGGTGACAACCATTTTGGAAAATAAGTATTACAGTGAGTATGTTCATTAGATGATTTTACTGAGGATATTGCTTTCTTGTTGCCAATTATCAGCTGCCATACTGAAAGCTTTTCCTGCAGTGAGTGACGCAGGTAAAATTTCCCCTGGTTATTTTACCTCTTCACCACTGTTTATTTTCTTCCTAGTTAGGTCATTTAAAAAATAGATAAATATAAATTAATAAATGTTAAATCTAACTAACAAATCTATTTATTGTATTTTTACTCACACCTTATCTTTTCCCATATAGGCAATTTTACTGCTGTGGCAGCAACTTCATTTACTAGTCATTCCTTTACATATGGTATGCTTATAAATAGATTACAGTAGTCAACTTTATATTGTAAAAATCTATTTACAGAAAACTGGCCAGCCTTTCCTGCCACTGAAGTGTGAGGGCAATGAAGTATTTAGCACATTACCAGAGTTCATACTACTTTAAACCAATAATTCAAATCGGCAGGATTATGCAAAACGTTAACAAAAAGTATTTATAAGAATCACATTGCTTTTTATTCTGTTAATTTAGAAACTCTGAAAAATCTCCAGCCTGACAGAAATCTTTTAAAAACATTACTTGAAAAGAGTTGAAGTCCAAAGTTGGGTAAATATTACCCAAATTTTCATCATATGATATATATGATGAAATATATTTTTATTGAAGATTCAGGGGCTTTTTAATTAAAGAGAGCCCTTAAGTATATTGTGATTAGAAGAAAAGACTCAATGCTTTATGTGAGTCTCCAAACTGTGCAGTAGATATTTTAATTAGCTTGGTGGTGCTTTATTCTTCTAGGAGAAAGTGTAATTAAAACTCATACAGT